CTATGAGTGTCCTTGAACACGCACTCACAAAGTGTGTGCATGGAGGGAGCTAGCTTTGTCTGTCTGCTGGAGATCCAGTACTGTGTTTTATTATAACTCTACAGGATGAAAGCTTTTTAGTATGGCCATGAATTAAGGTCAGACTAATCTTGCATTGTAATTACAAAGCTGGAGGTTTTGTTCCTCTTGTTTCTGTTGTGTGTGTGTGTGTCAATATAAGCATGGACACAGGGCTAGAGGTTCTTTAATGATTTAATCATGATTTTTGTCATACAAAGTCATTTAAAATAAAGTAACCTCTTTATTGAAATACAAATTATTTTTTGGAAAAATATTAATTAGGACAATTTCACACAATAAAACCGATGTTGGTTTGTAAAGACATATGCATGAGATGATAACTTGTAAATCAATCGTTTCTACTTCTCATGTCAATCCAAAGATGATATATTATGATAAGTAGGGGCTATCATTATTTATTGGCACTTTCAATACATGTCAACAAAGAACATACACATGAGTTAACAAAATAGGTCAAATATCAAAATAACCATGGCCCAGAGGCCTTCCTTCCCAATATTGTATTAGAAATGTATTAAGGAACATGATCACCTCATCAAAATTGTGAAAGGAAGGCAGCTGCAGTGGTTTGGGTATGTAACTAGATGGGAGAATAGCTTGACAAACGCCATCTTGCAAGGAGGTACTGATTGGATAAGAAAGAGGGGCAGACCAATGATTGATAACATTAAGCATTCAACGGGAATGTCATTTAAGTAGCTAACTAGAACAGCTGAAGACAGAAAGTTAAGGAGAACCTGTGTCTCAAGGTCCATTTCATTTCGCAGCGACGGCCTCCACGCTACGGGACATGATGGATACATAGACCATTAGAAATGTACACAAAATAATGATTGCAAATAGTCATAAATGGTGTATAAAACAATGATAAATGTTTCATTTTAAATATGCTCATGAATTTTCTTGTTATTGCCACGATCTTACCATTGGATTCTTCCTTCTCAAAAAAACATTAAAAAAACATCAACTGCATTACTGCAACAATAAAACAACAACAACAAAAATATCATTCAACTATCCTTATGATTATAAAAAAAAAATCAGAATCGATTGTACCAACACATTTAAGTGAATTGAACTAATGAACATATTTTGAGGAGAGGTGCCATACATCTCTCCTGATTTAATGCTGATACATGTGTATGTAGTATCTACATGTGTCTACTGTATAACCTGTTGTAGTTGATAACATGTATTTTTGCTTTCACCTTTGTCTGTTCATTTGTAAAAGTTCCAGGGTCGTTTAATCGAGTAAAACATTTGAATTTTTGCATTTAAAGCTAATAACAAATACAGATTAATTCTTGGCTCATATACTCTATTGTACTGTAAAGAAAATTGATTTAGGATGAATCCTAAAGCGTCCAATTAGGGAATTCTACATAGATACAGCATTTCACTTGAGTTGTAATGCATGTCCTTTCTTAGCCATTGAGGGAGCCCTTCCATAATCCTATCTGTGACTCAAGACACTTTGCACTGCTGGTGACTATATTCATATCCAAGTTAGATTGTGCAAACTCTCTGATAGAAGTATTATTTTCTGTTTAGTCATTGTTTGATTTTACTCATCATGTTATGTAAATCTTCTTTTTTTTCTTTCTGATATTAACTACTTCATATTTATTTCTAGATATCTCATATATCTTCTGTCTTCACTAATTCCTTATCTTAATCTTTGCTCTTTTCTTCTTTTTCCCATCTCCAGTGTTCTATCGCTATCTGTCTGTCTGTCTCTATCTCTGTCTCTCTTGTCTCTTCCTCTCCCCCTCTGTCTCTGTCTGTCTGTCTCTATATCTCTGTCTGTCTGTCTGTCTGTCTCTGTCTCTGTCTCTGTCTCTCTTCTCTGTCTCTCTCTCTCTCTTTCTGTCTCTCTCTCTTTCTCTGTCTCTCTCTCTCTCTTTCCCTCTGTCTGTCTCTTCCTCTCCCCTCTGCCTCTGTCTGTCTGTCTCTCTCTCTCTGTCTCTCTCTCTCTCTCTGTCTCTACTCTTCACTTCCTGTCTCTGCCTCAAATCACAGCATAGGTGTCTAAATATTTCATTCCCCTTGTCAGACAGTCATTTGTAATTTATTTTATAATGTTTTCATCTCATACTCCAAAAGTTTTAGGTAGTTTAAAAAAAACAATTGTAAAGAAATAAGTAAAAAAAAATCAAATAGCAGAAAATTGTTTTCAGTGAACATTAATGCATATATTCATTAAGTGGCTTCTCTGAAAGTTTGATGGTGATAGCAATAAATCTTGGGGAGCTTGCCCAATATAGGAACTGATTAACCCAATCACTACCAAGTCTAGATAGAGTCTGGGTATATATAGCCTGGTAGATTGAGATGTTGCTTTGTGAGTGGCCGTGCGGTGCTGTAATTGGTAGGTAATTTGAAGCACGTTTGTGACAGTGATTCATGCTCTTAAACTCTGTGGTTACTTTTAGTGAGATAAGTGAGGAGTGCTTCAGTCCAATACATATCCATCATCTAACTCAAATTGGGCTACTCAATGTAAAGTAGCAGCAGGAAGTTTGTTTCTCAATTGCGTCATAATGGAACAGTCATGTGAACGAGCCAGAACCCCGCCTGATTCTCTATTTATCAGCAACTAAATGATCACAAGTTCAATGTACAGGAGTATGTTAAACCCAAACTTTTACTCACATGCAACGTCCCTGATCGGAAGCAGAAAAACAGCCTCACATGTTTGTTAGTTTGTTTTATTTTTGGTCAAACATATTAAACTATTATGGTATAGTACATGGTGAATTTAGATGCAAAATTAATGCTCCTGAAAAGAAGTAAAAAAATGGATTTCATGTCTGACTTTCATGACTTGTATGACTATGGCTCTTAAGCAACTGTGGCTGTTCAATGGCAGAAGAAAATGGGTTATCAAATATAATGATAGTAACAGTAAAAACCAAAAGCATGTTTACTTTATGCATTAAACATTGATTTATCTGGGAAGTATAGCCTTATGCACATTGAAATTTTGTTTAAAGCCAGACAGGCTTCTGGCTCTGAACAGACAAAGCGATTCAACTGTTATGATTATAACTCTTGACTTGAGATGTACAAAGGTCATGGGTTTGAGCCTGGCTTTACTGTATCTCATATTCAAGGGACTTAATCAACATCGCCTCCCTCTACCCAGGTATATAAATGGGTACCTTGTAGGTTATGAGCATCATTGTTTGTTGAACAGCATGCATGCATGCACCCATGAAAGGATGAGCAGTTTGAATGAATACTCCCAAGTGGGCTGTAACTGTGGCATCTCACATGGAATTGAATCTGTATGTAGGGTGTCCTTCTGAACCTCCAACGTGCAGATGAAGAACCCCCGAGGGTGTTGGATGGAAGAGGTAAACCCTAAAAGGTTTCATTAAAACATCCTCAGGGGGGCAGCTTATGTAATGGTTTATAGGATGGGAATTTGAATCTCAATTTGTTAATGTGAATTGATAGGGTTGAGTGAAGATGTTGTCCCAAGATATTTAGTTCACATCATCCTTTAATGGATGTCTAATTATGTCTAATAGTTTAGATAGTAAGGAAACTGCATCATAAGAAACTTCTCCCATCTTTAAGCCATGTGTAATCGCATCAGAGAGAAGTTCCATGCGGCATTCCCCCGGAAACTCCGCGCTACACAGCCTGTAATTTCCCTAATGGTTGGTTGAGTCAAGCTGAGGGTGAAAGGCACCCAGGCCACTACCAACGGCTGTCAGCTCCTATCACTGTAGCTATCACTACCGTGTGCTAGCGGACGGAAGATACAGAGGAAAGATGGGACTTCTTAAGTAGCTGGTCACCAAATTGTGATTTGCTGTGTAAAGGATAGCCTTGAAGGCCAGGCCATTAACATAAACATTTCTGTAAAATCCTGATGATAGAAAGTTAATAGCACTTGGCATTGCAGCATATCGTGTAATGTCAGAGAAAAGAAGAGTACTTTTAATCATAATACTTGGATACTATTACTCCAATTAGCTTTCTTGTTCTCATGCTTGAATTGTCTTATATCTCACACCTTGTCATCGTTGTGTCTGATAAACATGAGATGGGCAGCAATCAGGCTAGAAGGAAGGGATGTTGAGTGTCTTTTCCAGTTTGTTGCTGCATGATCTCTGCTTGAGCTGTTTTCTCTCTCACAATTATAACTTGACAAGTGAAATTCAGATAATTTTATATTTTCTTTTCTTCCAATATTTCCCCCCTTTTCCCGGAGTTACTACTCTGGTTGAACTGTTGAAATAAAAACATATTTATAGTTCATTTATCTGAGCAATATTTGTTTATCCTGAAAGAGATAGCTCATCACCAATATGATAGGGAAAAAAAAAAAAAACAAGTCATTGAGGCTTGGTAAAGAGATTCTTTTTTAACAAAGTGCAAAATATGTTTTTAAAAAACATAATCTTTTAGAATAAGTGACCAAAAGGCTGGCTACATTTGATACCCAAAGCATTTGACAGTGGTATTGCCTGAAAATGGAATAAAAAGTCTGCTGAAATACAGAAGGGATTAACATCATATTCAGTCTTTTTTATAAAATTAATGCTCTCCTAGCTCCAAGTATAGGGATGGAATAATAGTCTCACTAGAATGAACCCATTCAGGTAAATCAATAGAGTGAGTCAAATTCAGCATTTCCGCTTGAATTGAATCTGATCTTTTATTGAGAAGTTTCTTATTAGCTGACTGAAAATATATCTGATGGTTTGTGGATTCCGTTTAAAGATTGAGTGGACACTGTTTGATCTTTACTACACATTTTTACCACTATGCTAGTTCGAATTTTATGGATATACTGGACTTTGTCTACATTGTCTAATGCACTACACAGGAACTTTTCTTCAGTTTCAGTAGTATAAGTATAAATAAGTTGTAATTTACCTCTCAATATTTTTCTCTTTTATGTACAGCAACAGAGAAGGCTGGATCTTCTAACGATAACCTCACCTGGTAAGTCACTTGTAACTTGTCTAAATCTCTTGATAATTAATTTATTAAAGTATAACTACACTGTATATGACTGACAGAAGGCCATTGAGAGGGTGTATTCCAAGTTTGCAAACACCCTGTTAGAACATCTTGTTCTAACACCCTTTTGTTAGGCACTTTAATGAAATCATTCTGGTCATAGTATACAAATTTCAGAATTTATTTTTGTATTCAAATTATTTACTAACAATGTTAAAATAAAGAACTTAAATATTCACAATGAGTAATGTTTCCCTTGTGTCAATAACTGTATGTTTATAAGGTATAGCAGATGGTTTTATATCATTTCATGATTTACTTTCATGTACTAGTTGTATTATTATCTGTTTAAGAGTGCCCTCATTGTTTTAACTATGTTGCAGTTTTAATGTTCTAATGTTAATGTGACAATCACCTGCAGAGGAATATAATTAAATATTCTGCTGAAACCGTGCTGCTCTCTACCTCTATCATCTATACAATACAGTTTTGACTAACTGTGTTTTTATGATTGTTGATAGTTAATGCCAGATGACAGTGTACATTTCCTCCCACTGCCTTCCTACCTCCCCTCTCCATTACGCTTAATTAGCAGCTTGGCAACAGGCATTTGCCTTTCCATCTTTCACTGCTTGACTATCAATGGATTTGGTAGAGTTGTTAATAAGCCGGGTGGACTTCACCCCCGTACTTTCCCATTAGTCCGTTCTAAAATATCACAGACTGACAGTGGATCATTCTGCCATTTTCAGCCAGACGCATTAAATGTCAATTTGGAGGTGTGATTTATGAAAGGAAATTAACAATAAAGTCATGCTTTTGTTTCTAACGCCGATTGCTTATCAGACAAAGAAACAATGTTACTTTCATTTTATTGGCATTTAGCCAATGCTTTTGATACTATTTTGTAATTCACCTCGCCTTGAATATGCTTTCAAAAATTACAGTTACTAATGATTCCTGAATAATTTAGGTACCGCTGTCCGAAATGCAGGATACACAATGCATATATAATTCTTGTAAAACTGATCATTTTTTGGCAGTTTTTTTCTACAATCGTACTCTACTTTGATCATGTCCATTGAATATGCATTAACCTATAGCATCTGCTGAGGACCATAAAGACATTATCTTACATCATTAAACACAGACTTAACACCCTTCTGGCTCTTAACAGACTATAAGCATGGATATAGGGGGGGGGGGGGGGGGGGTCCTGAAGGGGTCACCTTTCTATTGCAGCTGAAGCAGTGCAGCTAAACCAGATGAAGCCAAATGTAAGGCTGTTGGAATATTTCTAAATTCATATATCAAAGACCCAGCACATTGTCATTGAAACCGTGGCTTTAAGTTTTATGGTACATTCATTTTGTATCATGTTGGTTTCCCTCATCTTTTATTAGATTGAAGAAAGAAACATATGTTCTATCTTCATGACTGTCACATGGTCCTTTTGCAATGTTAGGAATGGTTTGCAGGCCAGGGATGAAGTTGTTTGTGTCAGTTCTCTTCAGTAAGTTACATTCCTCGGTGTAGCATAATAGGTGGTGTCACACAGAAAAATCCCTTGAAAAATCCCTTGAAAAATCCTTTCAAGGGAGAATTTTCTTGCCTCTTTAGAGGATTTTTAATGGAATAATTGATGACAGACAGCAATTAAGAGGATAACTAAAATCCGGATAACTTAAGTCCGGATTTTTGTCCTCTGTGTGACACCGCCTAATGTATGCATAATTTTAAACCAAAGGTTGTTCTTGACAACAGTAGCTTTTCCAAGGCTGGCCTGACATATCAACAAGTGATATATGTAGACTGGATCCCAAGTATTGTAGTTTATTCATGTATAACAGGTTAATGAAATAACTTGTCACTAGGATCCCAGGAGAGAAACATCCATAAATTTGAATACGTTAGTAAACTGGGCTATTCAGCAAAATTTGGTGAATATACATGTGAACAATTAGCTTAGCCTGGTAAATTTCTGTCTTTGTGAAGCTGTTAAGTGAATTGATGCATTGCTCAAATAACTAGATTTTTTTTCTGCACATGTGAATTAATGTATTCAAATATTTTGTTCACCTGTTTTGCTTAAGATTGTTTTGAATTATACTTTAGTTGGTATGTGATGAGCCCCAGGACAGCATGTTTTCCATAATTAATTAGTTGACATTTGGCAAATGGCTCAGTTTAATATCATTTCCACAAACAGGATCACGCATATATATATTTATATATATATATATATATATAAACCAGAAAATAGATAAAAATAAGAAATATCAATCAAAATATGGGGTTGGAAAGATACCAATTGACCTTCCCAAACAGAAACAATTCTAAGTACAATATGAACTGTGTGTTAAAAGCAATTAATGTAGAAATAACAACAGAGGGGAGGTAAAAGAAGACATTTCAAAGATTCAGGAGATACAGTTTACATCTTATTCTAAACTAGCTGGGTATTTTGTCTGTTTGGAGCTACATGGGCATATACTCACATACTCTAATGCCCTTCTGGCTCCAAACAGAACAGTGTTATAACTCAATGAGTGTTTTCAAAAGTACCTTCAAAACTCATGAAATTGAGTTATATTTTTATTTTGATTGAAAGTGTGTGTAAATTGTATGAAGAATGGAATAGGACTTTGAGCTAATCACCTAAATGACTTACTGCTCTTCATTTCACTCTGTGTACTGAACATATTAGAAGGAAATAAACCTGCAAGTCATTAAGTTTATATCTGATGATTTATGATGGTGATTAAGGCACAAATGACTATGAATTCATCATTTATTTCAACTTAATGCACAATAAACTGCATGGAAACAAATATAACATCTAATGACCAAAAACGAATTAAAAGATTTCCCCAAGAAATACTGCAATTTTAATTTGCAAGAAATTGAGCCGAGTCCATAAACGATCACTTTGGCTATTCATTTATCAAGCTTAATTTGTTTCCATGTTAATAGCAGTTGTATGATTGTAAAATGTAAGTTAATTAATGATAGTGGAACTCCCACATGCTTACATCCAATGCCATGCCAGTATGAATCAAAAGATTAAAGATCCACAAAGACAAAGTTGTCAAGAGGAAGGGTTTGAATGGATGCATGGTGAGTGGATATATGTTTATAGAAATACACATTTAAAGATTATTTTTGTTAATCACCTTTTCCATGACTGCATCTCTATTTCAGCATGTACAAGGGATGATTTCAGTATAAGGTTATTCTCTTTTCATTATAAAACTTAAAAAATATTTTTTTAATCCTGAACACTTTGGAAAAAAATCTATGTTTGTTCCCTACTGCTCGGCTAACAATGAGTTATAAAGCATGAATGAAAGGGATTAAGGATTAACTCTATTCCAAAGAGCCTAAAATCGGCTGTCTTCCTTGCATGTGTACATATGCAGAATCTACAACACTAGGCCATTTTGGTAATGTAACAAAATTTATACTTTATAGGGCTTGATACAAATTCTTTCATTCACCTGTTACAAATAATTGTATTTGTTAGGTAGGGCAAGCCATAATGTTTGTCCTATCTAGCAACAACTAATGTTGCAATCTGAATTCTATTGAAATACATTTATTTGTAACAGGTGCATGAAATAATTTGTATAAGGCGCTTCACAAAGGCATATGCATAAATTTGGTTACATGACAAAAATGGCCTATTATCTGCACCTTGATTGAGAGAGTGAGAGAGTGTAGAAGGAAGGTCTTTGTTATAACATTATAGACATTTGCCCAGGGTTTGAACCTTTGACCTTGTGAATGAGAGTCTATAGAGGCTCCTCCAACCCCTCCCCTCCAACCCCTCCCCTCCAACCCCTCCCCCTCCAACCCCTCCCCCTCCAACCCCTTCCCCCTCAAACCCCTTCCCCCTCAAAACCCTCCCCTCAAAACCCTCCCCTCAAACCCCTCCCCTCAAACCCCTTCCCCCTCAAACCCCTTCCCCCTCAAACCCCTTCCCCCTCAAACCCCTTCCCCCTCAAACCCCTCCCCCTCAAACCCCTCGCACCTCAAACCCCTCCCACCTCAAACCCCTTCCCCTCAAATACCATTTCCCCATGATTTCAACAAACATTGGTGTTTTGGTCTTTAAAACTTGTTTGAAAAATCACTTAAAGTGGTTTGAAATTAATTAATTCCTATTTATGCAGTCTGAATTAAATTTATAGATGATATGAAGAATAATAAACCTGTTGTAGATACTACAATCAAAATGTATAGACCAATAGAATATATATATATATTCTAAACCTATATTGGATAACAATTGCCTTTTGTAATTTCTGAAGGTCTTTTGATTTAATAACCTTTGAATATGGTGTTTGAAATGTTCATTAAATTTCTATTTATCTGGCGTTGTCCTTGGACAGTTATTGAATGTGAATGTGGCTGGATCAAGGCCAGTGTATTAATCTCATCGCATGAGTAATTGTGTTCCACTCCCACGAAATTAATGTGACATTCAGCCAGCTTACATGGGTCCACAACAAACTCTAAAATGAGACAAGCATTCGTGTGTGATGTAGCCTTTGTGAATAGCAAATTAATGGCACTTGTCTACCATGTAAATTAACTTTTATTTCCCTTTATTTTTATTTTTTAAATGCTGTTGAATTAATCAAATGTTCGTTTTATAAGTTGTCTGTACAAGCTGGACAGGGTTGCAATGCTTGTTATGATTACTGTGAAATGGTCGCTACACTTCATTTGGGTTGTTAAAGATACTTTATGTTCAGTGATAACATATCACATCATAAGCTGACATGGACCTAAATCTTCAGTTAAAGCCTCACTGCACTACTTATAGCTACTTGCGCCCTCTATATAGCAAACCATTGGTCCCCGTGGTCCCCTTTTTCTTATGTTAATTGAGAGCTGATTGGATGAGATAACCACCTGTCAGTGACCATGCAGGGAAGTCTAATCCCTCCCGGCCAAACTAGTGCAGATAGGCTTTAAAG